TTAGATTACACTTAAGAGTTCATTTTGGCAGTTGGCGTTAACAGTTAAACTCCTGTAGTACTGCTTTTAGTTGGAAAAGGTTTATTTATACTAAATTCAGAAGAAAATTGAAACACAACAAAACCTAATAAAACACAAATAATTACAAAAACAAAAACTTATAACAGCAGAAAAAGGCGGCAAACAACACTTCACAACACCAGACGTTACTTAACGGACACAATAAATTTGAAACTTCTTAACCATTCTGCACAAAAAACCCTACAAATTACTAAATTTTACCGTTGTTGCCAAACCATCAACAACTAAGCACTACTTACTTAAGTTGCAGGTAGACAGCGTACGGTGCAAACGAATTGGAAGTTAAGTAAGACTTATGCTTAAGCAGTACTTTGTTAAGTCTGCCTTAGTAAAACGTTGGTGCAAACGGGCATAAAAGGTGAAGAAGGATTTTATTAGATACGTAGCAGATTTAAAGGAAACCAGAATAAATCAAAGGAAAGGAGATATCTTTTTGAAGCAAGCAATGTTTTGATTAGTAAAACGTCTGTGCAAACGGGCATGAGTACTGAAAGAGCTGCTGCCCTCTTTCAGGGACTTGTCTTAGTCTTGTTTCTCTTTAAGAACCCCTCCATTATGGTTGGACCTATGGTCCGGCTCCCTAAATCATCGAAACTCGCAAGCCGATTCACCCACTCTAGTTTGTACAAGAGTTACGTCAAAGTTCAAGTCCCGTCATAAAAAAAACCAATTGATTTATTACTTTAAAATATTAATTTTTGTTTCTAATATTTTTTCACAAAACGTTAGGTTTTCGAGATATTCGATCACAAATGATCATTAACTTATTGGTCAGTAATATATCCAAAGCACTAGATCTAGATGTGATTTCGAATTTATTAGTCCTCATCAACACGTCATATACGGTCTTGACAAATTACCATCGAAATCGTATATATAGATATATTTCTAAATAATTTACTGTTCATAAGTATGAATCCAAGATTTCTCGAGCCCTTGGTGATTATCTCTTACCTACATGAAGGTCAAAAGAACAATCATTGCAATAGTGAACTCCCAACTAAACTGTATTGCTGGAAATCGTCCCAGGGGTGCGATGATGGCATAGTCACAATATGTTTACATTAAAAAAGGACTAAAGCCATAAAGCCACCATAAAAAACGATGACCTTTAAATGACTACTTAGATCAAGGTCATATTTAAAGTTACCAATTGGTTTCTTCTGTTTACCTAAAACTTCTTCCGAAATAATGAGAACCAACCAAGATATTTTATGGTGTAAGTATATTTTTTCTACTTTACCCGTCTGGGTCACCCCAGTGTTGCCAATTCGAGGGATTTTTGAGGTTCTCGAGGGATAAAGGGATTTTTCCTTATTTTTGCAGGATTTTTTGTAATTTGCCATTTTCTGGTTGGTTTTGTTTGATTTTGTTGACCTGATATTATATTATGAAGGCGCTCATTTTTCTAATTGTAATCGTAAAATTTTGTCAGCTATAATCGTATAATGCTTTACGATGAAACGGTTGATATACGACGGCGACGTGCGTTCAAGCCTACTGGTGCAGCCTGCAGGTACCTGCTCAAGTCCCTACGATAAATTGTCTTGAACTTTTTTGAATTGTATATTGTTTTCGTATCATTGTATGGTCTTCAGCTAACATCTTGAAAGTGACCAGTCAACAGATCAGAAACAGATGTTAAAACTAATAAAAATAAATGTTTGAATTGGTGTATTGTTCCAAAATCCGAACATCTAAACATCTAAACCCCCAAGGCCTGGTTTTGTCTGCATTTTTGGGAAACGAGATAACTACATACAATAAAATTATCGGTATTATACTATCGACACGAAAAGTTGTCCATGTTTACAAAAATATTGTATATTTTTTCTTCGAATAAACGATTAAATTAACGAATTAAAAAATAATAATAGTAATAAGTTGGAGGGATTTTTAGAGAAAATATGGGACTTTTTGGACCTGCGCGTGGA